ATTTCTGCTGTAGGTGTCATGTTGATTTCAATTAATTATGAAAAACTATCACAAGATTGTGCAGTGTTAAAATTTAACAAACATTGAAATTAAGGACAAGTGTGAGTAAAAATTTATTTATTTATTATTAATTTTATTATTGTGTATGAAAAATGAATGTTTGTCGGACCACGAAATTAGTACCTGATGTGAAAACACTACTTAAACATCAGTCTTATTTTTGAAATTATCTTTCATAATCAAATAGGATTGAATTCATTGTAAATTAGTAATTATTTAGTGTGAATCTATTAAATATTTATCTTGATTTTACCCGAAGTCCCTAAAATTGGATTTGAGCGTGCTTCAACAGTATTTTTTATTCAGAATTTAGTACATTATTAAACAATATAAGCGAATGATGTTTTTCAGAGCCATCCATTTAACATTAACTCTGATAAAAATTATATGACGTTTGTCCATTGAAATAGTCATTCAATAGTATTCCGATAAAGACATTCAATAGTGCTAATTGCACCTGCATCAGTTTAAATAAAGAGATCTCCGTTTTACCCCAACCTCCCCTATGTTTTTTTTCCGATTACAGATTTATAGTTCCTACGTTCACTGGTCCAAATTTTCGTTTCCCGGTGGCTTATAGTAATATCGAAAGAAGAATTGAGCAAAATAGAATTGAGAGGTATATAATCATGATTATTTATTTGTACCATATATTCAAATTAATTAACACTCGAAAAAATTTCCTGCATTTCAGAATCTTTTAATTACACCGATGAAAAACTTTTAGAGTTTTAAAAAAGTTCAAATTGTTATACTGGCGAAGAATTTTGTGCGTTTTATGTCAACATAATAACTCATTTTTTCGCTCCCGCTAGGTGGAGTACTCGTTTTATTATGTCTCATGTCAATAACTCGGCGGCCCAGGTAATTAGCACCACGTAATTGCAAATTTATATTTATTTTATTTAGGAGCATAGTAGGACCATTGTATAGCATTGTAATAGGCATAAAAATGTTTGTAGGTCCTTCTTTGATTTTTTATTAGTTAATCAAAATAATCACCGAAAGTTATTACCTCACTTTCCTCATTTTTATTTGTAAACTCAAATTGACCTTCCTTCCTAATCGTTAGCAAATCATTTGTGGGTAATGAATAATCTTGAGTGATCTTTGAAGATCTAATTGTTCGTTAATTAATT